ATAGCTCACTGCCATACAAGTATACGGGCGCAACAGTAGCATCATACAGTTGAAAACGAGTCTGAAGATCAAGAGGGGGTAGCTGACGAAGGCGCCGTCGATGCAACGCCAAGGCAGCTACCCCCTTCGCGGTCATCATCTCTATATGATGCTTCCATCCGCCCTTCTCATGAAACCACATGCCCTTGAACTCATCGCAGCGGTGCTGCTTGCATAGCCATCGCCTCGGGCATGACCTTGGCCACAGCTGCTTTCAATTTGGTGCTGCCATTGCATAGTAGATGCGATTAATTGAGCAGGAAATCATGCATGAGTCTGGCAGTGTGTGAATCATGTATACAACAAAGCAAGTCACACGAGTGGTCCCTTGCTCGCAGATATAAAATGCAGGCAACGATAAACCCTTCTGCTCGTTCCATTCCCTCTGCCTCATCGTTGTCCGCCTCAATGATTGAAGGAAGTGACATCCAGCTCGCTCATTCGTCGATATCCTCGACACCAACACCCGCCCCGTAATAAACCCTCTTCCTCTCCATCCCAATAGCCACGGGGAATAGCCTTGCCTGCCTTGGCTCTTCAGACATGAAGGCATCCTCTCCTTCATCACCCGAAACAAGAGTGAAGACGGACGTGTCGTCGGGCACATTCTCATCGATGTCTGCGGGGGGCGCGCGGCGATGGGGGAAGATGGCACGCGGCGTGACGCCTGGCCAAGCAAATCCCTTCTCATCGAAATTCAAAGGATCGGCATCCACAAAACTGAAAGAACAGAACAAGGAACAGATGACCTACATCTTTTTTCCCCTTCCACAATTCCACGCTGTGTCTTGCGTACTGTCTCCTTGCTCTCCGAGGCGGCTGACGGACACGCCCTCTCCTTGTCTCACGCCTCTCTCCCGCCGCCAGAATACCGCTGAGCTGTTGGAGGGGCTCGAAATGCCGCTCCTCGTGGCCACAAGGTATGGTCTTGTCGCCCAGGGCGGCAGGTGTGAGAGGTGGGGCGATAGCAGGGGGGCTCTCATATGGCGGTGGTGACACCGTGTCGCTTTCCTCGTTGTCCCCTTCCCCATCTCGATCTTCAGTGCCAGTCTTGTTGACCGGTTGGGTGGCGAGCGGCGGCCTCAGGGGAGAGGGAGGGGGAGAGAGAGTGTGCCATGGCTCATGGTCTAGGGCCATGGCTTGTCGTGTGAATGTTGCTGGGGCAGTTGGAGTGCTCTCGGCCTGTTGACTCCTGGCGGCCACCGCCGAATCGTCTTCTGACAAGTACACAAAAAGTCCAAGAGAGTCATGCATTTCGTGTGTCACGCAGCAGTCCCTCCTACCTCTGCCTTCATCTTCTCTGCCGACAGATGCCTGGCCTGTTGGCTGATCGATGTGCACCATCGCCAGACGGCAGCATGCCATGCCATGCCATGCCATGGATGTGTCGGGTGACTGCCTGGTGTTGCTGCTGCTGCTGGTACACGTTGTCGCGCTGGAGTATGGTGATGGGCTGGGGGATCCCCGGCCGATAGGCGTAGTGTGTGTGAGGGTTGGTAGGAGGCACGGGCACCTGCAGCACATACACGAACACGCGAGAAGGTCTGTGGCGTGGCTGTGGCGTGTGCGGCGTTGGCTGCCTGACAGACCGGGCACTGTCCATTGAACGACTGCATGGACGCAGCAGCCTGCTGGTCGGGCACAGCACAAAACTGAACGAACAGAATAAGGAACAGATGACCTTTTTTGAAATCTCTCTGTGACGGCATTATAAACCTGGGCTCTGAAGGGGAAGTGCTCGACCTTCACTTCTTTCTTGGCAGTGGGAGGGTTGCTCGTTTTTGCAGCCTTGGCAGCTGCTGGCACATGGTGTCGGTCCCGCATGTCGGCGTGTCTCCTCTCTCGCACCTCCGCCTGCCCTCGCTCCCATGGCGAATGTCGATATCCTGCTCGGCTGTCTCCTGCTGGGCGAGATCACTGCAAGCAATACAGAATGGCACTCTGTGTCGCTGTATGTCTCGTCCTGTTCTGGGTGTTTGTCTGACTAACCCATGATCTCTCCTTCTCTGTCTTGAGCACAATGCTGTGCAGCTCCTTTGCCGTCGGCCGCTTGGCCGGATCGCGGTCAAAGCCTCGCATCACTGCCTCACGCAGACGCTTGGACATGTCCCAACGGGCGTACTTGGCAGTGAAGGCGCGCGGCGTGCAGCCATCACTGCAAAGCTCCCACAACTGCTTTGCCCAGACCTCCGCGATGGACAGGCACCTCCGCGATGGACAGGCACAGCGCATAGATGTAGCAGGAGAGGTCAAAAATGAGGCACTCCCTGTCGGGTGTATTGTTGACTTCTGGGGGCAGTGCGACTTGGTGATGCCCGTCCTCTTCTTCGTCCGCAGCTTAGGCCATTCAACTGGACACCGCTTGCAAAGTCGATGATCTTCACGTGGAGGGCTGGGGTGCACATGAAGTTCTGCGGCTTTATACCTGAGACACAGACAGACAAACAGACACAGAGACGCAGATCGATTTCGACAAGGGTCTCCTGCATTGTGTAAGCCGCTCATCCAGACTCACCCCTGTGCAGCATCTGCCCGCACTCGTGGCTGTGGAGGTGGGCGATTGATGACGTCATCTGCCTCGAGGAGCTGGTCGACCGTCAGATCCCGCATCCCCAAGGCCCCCAAGGGTCTGCCCCTTGATGTACTCGAGGTATACCCTGCGGCCCAGCAGGTCCATACGAGGACCAAGCACCATCACCACATTCGGGTGGCGTCTCGCCACTGCAAGAAGCTTGGCCTCTTGCGCCGCCTGGGACGCGGTGGGTTGGGCAGCATTCTCGCTCGCTCTCAGGGCCGAGAGGTGGCCTGTGGCCTTCCCGCGGGCTGTGGACCGGAGCGGGACGACGAACGTCAGTCGGCGACGCACTAGGAGGGGCTGGAAGGCCAGCGAGAGAGAGAGGAGGGCCACGACGACCGAGAAGGACTCGAGCGACTGAAACCCAAGTCCCCCAGTGGATCCGCTAACAGCTCAATGCACCCCAGCAGGAATTCGAGGAACGACTTGCACTTCTCCTGTGTGTTGGCCTCTCCGTCTGGAGCGCCGCCATGGAGGTTTGACGCTGCACCTTGTGGCCGAAGAGAGCGACTAGACGGGCAGGGAAAAAGCCGAAAGTTCCGCGAGGGGGCGGGCAGGCGGCGGGGCAGGAGGGAGCACCCGTGCGAAGGGGAGAAAAAAGGAAAGGAAAAAACCTCTGACGAGGGCGGAGAAACTCAGAACAAGGCAGCATTGCGGACATTGTCCTGAACTGCACTCGGAAATCCACTTTTTTGGTCCCGTCTCCAGGGAGACGGCGAGATTTCGAATTCTCGACGCGATCGTTGGCCTTAAAGCTTGCGCAAGGCTGGTCTTGCCTCCCCTTCTTTGATAAGATCCGCCTATCGCCGCAGCCTTCACAGCATAACGCTCGTTGAGCACTCGTTGAGCCGGCGCGTTCATCCCGTGTTTCAACCAGGACGGCACCTACGCCTGCCGCCTCAAGACAATTTGCCTCAAGATGACCACCAAGGTAGGCAACAAAGCGAGATAGAGGCAGCATGTCTTCGCTTTCCTGTAGCTCGGACTCGTCTCGTGTACATACATACATTTCGATGTCTGTGTGTTGCGAGCCAGCCGAGATCTTTGTCGTCCCATCTCCTCACAAATACACACATACACACGGGCACATAGTTGCATGCATCCATCCGCCAGACAGATATATACACCCACCCACCGACCCACCCACCCACTACACATGCATCCCGACTGACTGACCAGCTGGCACTAATTCACCCACAAATAGGTAGCTAGAAAACAGCAAGCAATTATACGTCTGTCTTTCCGCCGGCCAGTATACTACCATTTATCCATCACCCTGCACCTCTCTTGGTCGTCTCCATCTCGCCTTCTTTCTCATCTTCAGCAGCACCCTTACCCTGTTGCTGCACACCGTCCACAGTGCCCTCAGCAGGGAGGGCCACACCGTCCACGGCAGGCAGAGAGGGGAAGGGCACCACACGATGGCGTGGCTTCCTCTCCTGCCCTCTCCCACCTGCACCATCACCAGTAGCAGCATCGGATCCAGTGGCCTCTCTCTCCTTGTCTGCCCGCCGCCGCTTGTGTCCGCTGCTATACAGCTCCTGCTGCTGGCCCTCTGACATTCCTGAAATGGGGCGCATCGGCGTCTCGGGAAACAGACCGGTGCGCATTGGGGTGGGCTGTGGCTCTGCCATGGCTGCTGGGTGGTCGTCTGAGGGGAGGCTTTGTGTGCGTTTGGATGGCGTAAGGAGGTCGGTGAAGAGGCCTCGGGGTGCCGCTGGTGGTGGGGCTGATGGAACGGGGGGAGATCCCTTGTCCTCCTTGTCATTGATAACCTGCACCACACACAGTGAGAGTGAGCTTCCATGCTCATTTATGTGTCCCCGTCGGCCTGTGTTCTCACATTCTCAAGTTGTTCGGGCGGTGCAAATCGGACCTTGACCTTCTTCCGCTTCTTGTGCCGCTTGGACGAGTCCCCTCCACTCTGCGACCGCGAGCTGAGGTCCTCACCCGAGTCAGCACTGACCCTCACGCCCTCCCTAGACGCGTCGCGCGACATGTCTGCCGGCGCCTCCGAGGCCACGTAGTCTACGTCCATGGCTGTATACAGCACACAGAAAGGACACAGACACGCATCTGCGGGTGTGTGTGCCCATTCGTCTCACTCACATGTGCCGCTGTTCCTTCTGGACCCGGCTGCCGCTGCTGCTGCTGCTGATGACGGCCTCCTACTGGAGTTCCTCTGCAGTAGCCCTATGTGCGGCGTCGACCCCTGTGACGCCACCCGGCCCGTCGGCGAGACCGACGGCGTGCTCTGCTCCCCATCTCCGCCATTCGCAGACACACTCGAGTGCACACTGCTGACGTGACTCAGCCCGAAGGCAAACGGCAACCGGTCGACGGCAAATGAGGCCGGCAGGTCCATCTCGCGCGGCAGCTCAGGTGCTGAGACCATGGCGGCGGGGTGAGATGGCTCGTCTGTGGGCAACGAGGGGGGCGTGACCTCGTGGGGGGCCAGCACGCTGGGAGATGAGTTGAGCAAGCTGGACGAAGGTTGGTGAGAGGAGAGAGGGGGGCTGTCGGGGTTCATTGGCCCTACACCACCATTGGCAGCAGTGGCAGCAGGGGGGAGACCCATCGACGTGGTCAGGACGGGGCTGGCGCGGCGATTCAACTCGGTGTTCAGCAGCAAAAGCGGGTCGGGCTCCTCTTCATCGTCTTCATCTGTTGCCTCACCACCACCACCCCGGCTTCGTGTGCTGCCACGTTGCAGGGCCTGCCGCAAGAGGTCGGCCGTGTTGACGAAGTCGCCTTTCAACAGGTAACGGCGAGAAGAGTTACCTGAGGCACCCCCACGCAGAGAGAGAAAGCGGCAGGAAGATGAGAAGACGGTCTGACACTTGGAGGACGGTTTACGCTCACTGACCGAGTCTCAGGGCCATTCCCTGCTGGTAGAGTGTTGGCGTGCGTGCCTCCAGACGCAAACTGTCCAGAAACGTGCCGTGCGCTGCATGGATGAGGGCATCAAGGTCACGGCATATGAGCGACTGATGGACAGGTGAGGAAGGCCTTACTTGATCCGAGGTCCATGACGAAGACAGACCCATTGTAATGATGCAGAATGGCTGCGTGGCACCGACTCGTGGCTGCAACGCACACACGCAAATGGCTATTGGTGTGCTTCGATGCGATGCGGGGGTGGCATCTGCCCTGTGCGCTGTGGCTGCTGACAGTCGTGCTCAGTAATGATGTCATTCTCGGTCCTGTTGCGGCCGATGAGGTAACACCTGGACAGACAGCCAGCCAGCCAGACGGACAGTCAGTCAGCCATGCGTCCACATCTGCATCTCCATCTGCCTGTGCGTGAGTGTGTGTGACCTCTTTTGGTTGATAGGGATTGTTTCTGTGTTTTGATTGGCCTTCCACACCTCTGAAACAAACCAACACACAAAAACACAAAACAGCGTGAATGAATTTCGGTTGTGTTCTTCACAGAAAGGCCTCCTTGCCCCTTGGTCCTCACCGAGCCAGACATTGGTGGCAGGGGTTTCGCACCACCGGGGCACTCTCAGCGTAGATCCAGCCTTGCCGCCCTTCTGCTGTTGATCCTCATCCATCTCTGTCCCATTGATCTCACCAGGGGCTCTGCGGCTCTCATTGATAGCGGCTGAAAGGGCTGACGACGGCTGGCTGGGCTCAGAATGCATCGTTTGCAGTTCACTCAGTCATTGTGCAGCGTCACCGCGCCTACAATGAAGCTCCAAGCTCGCAAATAGGCTAGGGTGCTTCCTGAAATCGCTGCAGCGGCAGGGAAAGAAAAATTTGTGGTTTTCCCCTTCCCAGGCCTCCCGTAGGGCCTCGAGTTGATAGCGTTGCACCAGCATTCATCCCGGCCGTTGCACACCATGGCGTGTTGCTGCTGGGCGTGATAGGAGTTCTGTTTGCCATGCCTGAGCTGCCTGAGGTTGAGAGGGCCAGGCGGCTGGCTGCGGCTGCGCTGGAGGGAAAGGTGGTCAAGGAGGCCAGGACCACTGAAGACGAGGTCAGTTCAAGTCGGGGGTTGACTTCAGTGGGTGGTGCAAACAGGCACTGTTCGCACGTGGTCAGATTGTGTGTGTGTGTGTGGTCTGTCAGATTGTGTTTGATGGGGTAGATCACGCCGAGTTTGCGCGTCGGATGACGGGCAAGAGGATAGTCAAGATTGGCAGGAAGGGCAAGCAGCTGTGGTTCGAATGCGACAAGTGAGCCAGCAGCACAGACCGACCAATGGGCAACAGCGTCCTAATGGTGTGTTGTGTTGTGCGCAGGGCGCCTCACCCGACGTTCCACTTCGTATGCACGATGCGGCCACACACAGACGTGCAGACAAGCTGATGGAATGGCCATTTCTCTCTCTCTCTCTCTCTGTGCATGTGTGTGTGTGTGTGCGTGTGTGTGTGTCAGGGTATGACGGGCAGCTTTGCGGTCAAGGGCGGCGAAGTGTAAGCAACACACCAACTGCCACACACAACCGCACTTGTCATCCCCCACCTCTCGATTGGGGTCGGGTCGCTAAACTCAGGGCTTATTACAAGTCCTTCTCTGTCGACACGGAGAACTGGCCACCAAAGTTCTGGAAAGTAGAGCTGGAGATGGACGGTACGCAGGCCGCAGCACAAATCAGATGACTGACGCATTTGGTATGCGTGTTGGTTTGGCTGCTGCTGTCTGCTGCAGACGGCACGTTGTTTGCGTTCATGAACATCCGTCGGCTGGGCCGCATTCGGCTGCTGGACGACCCACTCAGCCACAAATCCATATCGGGTGGGTGAGGTGACACCAATCAAAGAGAGAGAGAGACAGCAAGCGCAATTGTCGGGTGGTTTCCCTTCTCTCCTGTCAGAGCTCGGCTTTGACCCGCTGACGGAGATGATGCCAGGTCAGTCGGGAGAGTGAGTAACCAGCGTTTTCGTTTATGGATGATCCGATCCGCGGATGCATTGTCTGTCCTCTTCTCCTCATCAGTCTCTGATTTCGTGTCTGCCATCCGTCGCCGTCACGCGCCCATCAAGGCGGTGCTGCTGGACCAATCCCTAGCCGCTGGCGTCGGTAAGCAGGCCACACACACACACACACACACACAAACCGTTTGTGTGTGTCAACACAAACAGGCAACTGGATCGCTGACGAGGTGTTGTACCAGGCGAGGGTGCATCCCGGCACCGTGGGGTCCGTCATGACCGACGAGGAGATCACCCGAGTGCACGACAGCCTCGACAACGTCATACGCACGGCGTGCGACGCCAACGCCGACAGCGATAAGGTACGTACCACAGGCAGGCGCATATGCACTCGTACTGTATTTGTGTGTGTGTGTGTGTGTGTTGTGTGTACGCCCTGCCCTGCAGTTCCCCCAGTCGTGGTTGTTTCACTACCGTTGGTCTGTGAAGGACGCCGGCAACGCCAAAGACGCCAACAACCAAACCATCAAATTCGAAAAGGTACTTACTTGCCGACATTTCTGCGTGGACGCATCGCATCCATTTGTGAGTCTGCGTTGATGTGGATGTGTGTGTGCGTGTAGGTGGGCGGCCGGACTTCGGCGTACGTGCCGGCCGTCCAGGGCGCGGCGGGCCGCAAGAGGACTCCCAAGAAGGGCGGCAAGAAAAAGAGTGCGGCCGACGCGGCAGAGGACGACGACGAGCTCGAGGACGGCGAGGCGGACAACAACCAAGACCCCAACGAAGATGAGGATAGGAAGAGCAGGGGCAAGAACAAGCGCAAGCAGCCCTCGGCAGCAGAGGTGCCCCTCCCCTCCCTGCACGAGTTGGCGAATGCGATAGTAGCTGCCGGTAGTGACGAGGCTGCCTTGGCTGCCGTGCGTGAGATGGCGCAACGCGTCGTCGACAGCGCACCCAAGGGCAGCGGGGCGGCGAGGCCCAAGGCCAAGAGGGCGCGCAAGGGCAAGAAGGAGGAGGACAACGGGGTGGGGGAGGGGGCGGCAATGGGTGTGGGGAGTGGTGTTGATTTCAGCGCCAGTGTGGAGCGTGCCGAGTGACGGGTGGGGGCAGGAAAAGTGGGATGTAGATACGTACGTACGAGCTGAGGCGGTCGGTGCGGTGTATGAATGCAATGCATGTACGTGGCTTAGATGAGATGCCCTCGTGGCCAAGCCATGAGAGGGAGGCGCAGTCGCCTTTTCGACTGGGTGACAGACAGACCAACGGCTGGCTGTTGACGTTGAAACGTGAATTCAGGTATGAAAGGCACGTGTGAGTGAGTGACGGAGGGAGGGAGCACATCCAATTGATTGAAACACTTGTTGAGCGACACAACCCACGACGAGACAGGGTGTGGTGTCTGGTGACATGACATACGCACGCAATCACTCTCACACAAACTTGGGTCGTCCACTCGGGATTGTCGCAAGTAGATCGACGAGCAAGGGTCTGTGTCGGCCCGCGTCTCTCGTCGCGACAAACCACAGTGACACGATAGGCAGGCAGTCAACGGGACACAAACAAACTATCCAGCAAACACACGGATGTCACTCACGGAACGCAAAGAGACCTGCCCTGACCTGATTCGATCCATGTGTTGTCCATCACTCACTCACTCGTGAGTGTGCGAGTGGACAACCGACCGGTCACTCACACTCAATGATCCAGTGTACACGAGCCATCCCATCTCCAGTCGGCAAAATCGCCAACCAACACGACCACCCGCTGACTGCCACGCCCTCACAGAGAGACGCTCTACACGCCCTTCTCCCCCCCTCCCTCCCTCGCTACGCCTTCTTCCCTTCTGCAGGCTTGGCACCAGCACCAGCAGCAGGCGGCTCCTTCTTACCCTTGGCCTCAGTTTGTTCTGGCTGCGTTGGCTTGGCCTTGGCGTCCTCGAGTTTCTTCTGCGGCTCGGGGATGAACTCGGCCTGCTTGGGCAGCTGCTTGGGCTGCGCCTCGATGGACTCGATGATGGGTCGGCGGGATGCGAGGTCCATCTTGACGGTGATCGAGGGGCCCTTGCCGGCCTTGGCCTTCTGCCGCTGGTACTCCTTGTGCTCGGGCTTGTCCGAGGGGAGGAACCCCTCACGCATCAGACGCTCACGCTCCTCGGGCAGCGGAGTGCCGGACGTCAGCTTGCCGTCAAACAGGTGCATACCTGACGAACAAGGACCAGACCAGACAGACAGACAGACGTACGAGCAGAGAGAGAGGCGGACAGTGTTCGTGTGTGTGGGTACCCACCTTCCATGGGTGGCGGCCATCCTCTCTGTTCGATGCCGATGTCGGGCCGCTTGTAGCCCTCGACGCTCTTGGGCTGCGAGTAGTCGCCGGGCGGCATGGCCATGACCTCACGCCGGATCTCCTCGAGCTGGGCCTTGTCCTTAAGGAGTCGGTCCAGGTAGCCGGGGCGCTCGATGTACTCGAGCTCGATCATGTTGACCGGCAAATCGTGGTCCACCGCTATCTGCGCCTTCTGCAACACACACACACAGGGCAGTGCAGGTGGGGCTATGCTGCGGTGTGTGGTGTGTGGTGCGGGTCTTCCTTTCTGACCCGAGCGAGTTCGTCATCGAATTCGGCGAAGGCGTCGACGTGCTCCTGGGTGAGGTGGCCGCGCCACATGACTATCGGCCCCAGCTCAGTCAAACGAGCTATGGCCATCACACCTGCACACCAGCGCGAACAACCGCAAACCACAGCACAGCACAGCGCGGCACAGCAACAGACAGATGGAGCGATTTGGGCTCGTGCAGGTACGTGTGTGTGTGCGTGACTGCCGCTGACTGACTGACTGGCTGACCAGGGTGGCTGATGAAGGTGAGCTTCTGATCTTGGACTCCGAACGACACCATGCAGTCAGGCACCTTCTCCCGGGGGGGCGCTTTCGACGCTGGCTGCGGTGGCGCCTTGGCCACCGCTGTGCTGCTCGCCCGACGCACTAAGGCACGAAACATTGTCGTAGAGCCACTCCTCCCTTTGACCCTAACCCTACACCCGAAACCCTGCAAGTGAGTGGAAATGGGTTCGTGGTGGTTTGGTTGCGAACGTCTGCAGAGATGCGGCGCTTGCGATGTGGTCTGGCATTGCTGCAGAGGTCAGCCTGCTGCCTCGCTGAGAAAGAAGACGAAATTTACGGCGATTGGCAAGCTCGCAGATCTGGGAAGAGGTTCAAGGCTCTACTAGGCAGTGTCGTCCCTCCCGTGCTTCCACAGCTCGTCAGAATGAAGTGTGTGGCCGTCGCATCCCTCCTCCTCATTGCCGTCGCATACGGTGAGGCGAGCCACTCAAGCGAGCGGCTCATGCAGCCGCTGAGAAGCGAGATCTGTGACAATGCGCGGTTGTCATGGCCTTTTGCAGGCGAGGAGGCAGCGTTCGTTCCATCAGCGCCCCTCCGGTCACTGCCGACTCGCCGCGCCCTTCGGTCGACGACGCCCAAAATGTCGGTTGAGGAGATGATTGGTGCTGACGTGGAGACCGGTGGCGTGTTCGACCCGCTGAAATTCTCCGAGGACGAGGCATCGCTCTTCAGAAGACGGGCTGTGGAGCTCAAGCACGGTGAGTCAGTCAGTCAGTTGGCATGACAGCAACTCACCACACACGTGGACAGTCTGTGCAGAGGTCGTCACTGTGTGTGTTTGTGTCTTCAGGTCGCATCGCCATGCTGGCGTGCCTGGGTTACTTTGTGCAGTCTGCGGGCGTCCATCTGCCCGATCCCGTCTTCTCTGAGCCCCGGCCTCTCTCGGCCTTGACCAAGGTCCTCACCGAGCGCCCGTGGGCCGCCGCGCAGATCGTGGCCGCCATCGCCGCCATCGAGCTGGGCCCCGGCCGCCAGGACTATGAGAACAAGGCACCTGGCGACCTGGGCTACTTCGGCGACTCGTTCAAGAACTCTGACCCGGAGGAGTTCAGGTGAATAAATAACAGGCGAGCGCTGAGTTGCGGCCTTCGTCATTCACTTGTTGTCTGTGGTTGTTGGTTGTTTGCAGGAAGGATCAGCTTCGGGAGTTGAAGAACGGTCGTCTGGCGATGATAGGCATCATGGGCATGATGGTGCAGGAGGGGCTGACCGGTCAGAGCGTGTGGGAGCAGATCGGGTCGGGCAACATCAACCCCTTCAGCTGATCAATCAAATGATCTCTGGATGGACGGACCACAGGTTAGGCGCAACAGACACACGACCCACGAGGCCAGCTTACGACCATGTTGGTCTGTCTGTCTCTCTGTCTGCTCCCTCGTGTGTGATCATTCATCCTGTCAGTAACTGGGCCGGCTGTAGGACAAGAAGACCACTCACCAGATGCGTGACAGACACATGGGTGGACCTGACTGACTGACTGACTGACTGGCCGCTTTTTGTGTGTGATGTGATGTGATGTGTGTTGCGGGCGGGACACACAATGCTGCAATGCGGTGCGTCCCTACCGGGAGCATCGGAATGTGAGTACCACCTGGGGGCACGTGTCGAGTTCGGATCTCGCTAGTCCTGTCCATGGAGACGCCTGACGGTCAGCAGGGCCCTCTGTGGACCGAAAGACGTCTTCAAGCACCGACGAGCGAAACCGACCGACACAGGGCACCTGCCGACCTAGTTCTTCGCGAACTTGTGCAGTGGCATGTGTGTATGTGACCCTCTAATTTTTGGACCGTGTCCCTGCGGTCCAGGAAGTGGTGACACGTCGTCATTTGGATCGATTAATTGCCTCAAAATGTGTCTGACGTACACACGCAGACGCAATCACACGGAGAGATGCTCACACAAACACAAACACTCACACGCACAAAACGCGTCCATTGTCTGTCATCCATTCATTGTCCCTTCAGGCGCACGGGCGCGCACACGTCTGTATGTCTGTCTGTCTGCACATGCTACAGCAGCCGGGGAAAGGGGTGTAGAGGGACGGGCAACCAGTTGGTGGAGTCTCCTGAAACAGCTTTCTTCTCTCTGATGGTTGGCGGGCCTGCTGCACCCTTCCACATGCGGATCAGCAAGTCGAATGACACTCGATGCAGGCACCAAGGCAAGTGCTACATCGGTGCACATCTCGACCTGGTGACCCTCACGTGGAAGACTACAGGCAAGGCAAGGCCAGCCACGTGAGGCAGGCAAGGGGAAAAACTGACACCACCAGCAACCAATCATGATTGGTTGCCAGGCAGCGTCGATTAAACCTTTCTGTCGGTCGGTCTGTCTGTCTGCCCAAGCTACTCCTACAGTTTCTCCCTCTCTCTAAGGCCTCCCGACCTCCGTGTGTATGATAACGGCAATATGTGAGAGGGATGGTCTCACGTGCAGCCACGGGTGTGTGTGCAACCGTCTCTCGCGCCCTCACTCTGGCCAAGGCAGACTCACACCACACATAACATGCCACGCACATCACACTCAGGCAACATCACCGACCGCCACGCACTCTCCATAAGCGGACGGAGGGAGGGATAGAGAGAACGGATCAAAACAGAACGCAGAGAGGGGAGGGGAGGGGAGATGCCGGCCAGACCGACCGACCAGCCAGCAGATAGATAGACAGACAGATGAGTGAGTCAGTTGCAGTTATGTACACCACACATGAGAGGGAGGCAGAGAGGATAAGTCAGAGAGTTGGTTAGATAAAGAGGAGAAGGACGGGCAGATAGATAGATCGCTCGCCGGCCAACCTGTCCGCTCCGTCCTTTCAGGAGGGCAGACAGCCACCATCCACACACACAGACCCGCATACACACACACACGTAGACGGAGAGAGCCATTGTGGGTAGGCAATGCGCGCATAAGGCAGATAGAGAGCCAAGACGAAAGCACCCCAGGCAACCATCCACCCGGCAAGGCAGCCAAACAACACACACACACACACACACACGACCAAAGAAGACAAAAGCAAGGGACGCACAGGCAGGTCCATCTCCCCGTCCCCCGCTGTATTGTATGGCAGGTAAGGTATGTGTGTGTGTGGGTATGTGGGGGTGGATGTGTGTGTCTTTCAGTTGTTGGTCGAGTCGTCTCCATCGTCACCGAAGAGAATGCCGTTGCCGTTGCTGGCCATCATCAACGAAGGACGAAGTGGATCTGACCGAGGGGAGGGACACACAACCAACAGAGAAGGGAAGCCATGTTTTGTCTATGCTCCTGTGTCCTGACTTGACGGCAAGAATGAATGGAAAACATCCAATCGCACACCGGCCTCTCTGTCTGTCTGGCTGGCTGGCTGGCTGGCTCACTACGTGTCACTGGTTGCGACAGCCCGCCGTGAAGGGCGCACACCCCGCCCTCACGCCCTCGCCCCCCTCCTCCCCTCCATCACCACCACCATCCTCAGACAACAGCAGCAGCGACGACCCACCACCAGCACCATCACCACCACCCCTTCCCTGCCGCCTTCGCAATGGCGATGCCTCAGACACGCAGCGAACCTGGGCAATCCCACCACCCTCCGGACGGCGGGCAATGTTGGTGGGCGACGTGGGGGAGCTCTGGCCCCCACCGCTCCCACGACGAGCGAGGCCCCTAGCGAGCCGACCGATTAGGGATGGGGAGGAGCTGTGGCGGTGGGCGGCGTTGGTGGGAGTGCTGAAGGGGCTGCCACTGCCAGATGAGCTGATGCAGTCACGCCACACGGGCGAGTCTGGATCGCCGGATGAGGCATCGGGTGTGTCGGGGGGTGGGGGGAGGTCGGGGAGAGAGACGCCGTGGGCAGTGGAGGGGGGAGGGTCGTTGATAGAGAGGTTGCCGAGGGCCTGGTCAACGGCGATAGCAGTGGATGTGGTGTTGGTGTTGGTGTTGTTGTGGTCAGCTCCTGGAGCAAGGACGGAGAGGGGAGGAGGGCGGGCTGCCGCAAACCATCTACCTCACTCACTACTTGCTCATCCACACACTCACACGCACACCCACCCACCCACTACCTCTCTCCCTCCCTCCCTCCCTCCCTGTCTGTCTGTCTGTCTGACTCACCTCGGTGGATGTCGTTGAGGTCGTCGTCATCGGCGTTGGCGAAGGCCCCTCCCTCAAACCCCGTGTGGGTGAACGGCCCGTCATCCCGCCCACCGATGCTGTCACCGGCGTTGTCATCGCCCAGCCCGGCGATCTGCACGTTGTAGCCGTCCGATGGCGAGCCGTACGGCGACTGCCTGCCCTCGCTCGTCTCGGCGTCGTTCTGGTCGATGTCCATCTGGTTGAGCGGATGGGTGGGGTCGGGGTCGTTGTTGCTGTCCTCGACGATGTTGAGGAAATCCTCCGCTGCTGCTGCTGCTGCAGATGAGGAGGACTCGGCGGCCGCTGCTGCTCCTGCTGGTTCAGCTGCGTGTGGGGCGTCGGTGGGCAGGGGGATGCCTGTGGATCTGTCGCGGTGGAAGAGGTCTCGCTGGGTGGGGTGGCGCCTCTTGTAGAAGAGCAGGTAGGCGTAGCGATTGCACACGTCACTCGCTGAAGGACAGGACAGGACAGGACAGGACAGACGCAGAGAGAGAGAGAGAACACTCAGGCGAGACACACGGAGTGGGTGGGTGCGTATGGGCTGAATGAATGCTCACCTCGCTCTCTGCCGACATGGGCGTCGTTGAAGCCGTACCTACACCCACCACACCACACCACACCACACACCACACCAGACACCCACACACATATTACCCTCCCCTCCTCACGCCCACCAACCCACCCCCCAACATACCATTCGTCCCCGAGTTTGACGTTGGCGGTGTAGTGCCCGCCGCCGCAGCTGCCCGAGTGCTCAGACACGCCATACAAGTCGTACAGTAGGGCGTCCTCGCCACTCTCGGGCACCTCCGGCTCGGCAGCAGCAGCAGCAGCCGATGACGAGGAGGATGAGGAGGCTGCCGGGTGAGCGGCCCACGCGGCCTGTGCGCGTCGGACCTCCTCCTCGAGAGCCTCCTGCGGCAGGTAGGGGCGGAGGTCCAACGGCTCTGATTCATTGATTGAGGGAGGGAGGGAGGGAGGGCGGGAGGGGTTTACGAGAGAGGAGGGTGGAGGTGAGAGTGTTGTGTGTGATGGTGCGTCTGCCTGTCTGACCGTCTACGGGGAACTCGATGGTGGTCTCGATCTTCTGACGAAAGTGGGAGTTCTTCCTGAGCAGTGAGAGGGAGGGAGAGAACGCACACGCACACGCACACAAGCCATATGTATGCCACATCACATCAACGTACGTGTGTCTATCCGCAGTGCCTTCCTTTGTACGTACCTGAAGAGGAATCGTTTGAGGTGGATGATGAGTATGTCTGGGAGCCGCCAGATGTCCAGCTTCTTCGAAGCCTGACGGAACTCCTTGCACCGGGGGCAGTGCCTGCAGCCATCGATATATGCGATGGATGGATGAACACCGCACACACAGGCCAGACACGCATCAGACGGTAGTCCCCTGATGTGTGTCTGTGTCCATCGTCCCCTTGTGTATACCGTACCACTGGTCGTCTGTCCCGAGGATCTCCGTCTCGCAGTAGAGCCGCACACAGTCGTCAAGCGTCACCTGCACACACAGCACAGTCACACAGACAGACAGGCAGACGCCATGAGCACGTTGAGGGCGATATCAGTCAGCCTGTCTTTCTCTCAGTAGTGAAGGGTGTGTGTGGTGTCCCTTACCGCCCTCTCCGGCCGTGCCTTGAGCTTGTCGACAGTGCGGTCCTGACAGCAGCACAGGTACACACACACACATCCATCCATCCATCCATGGTGTGTGTGTGTGTGTGTGTCTTGCCTCCCTCCCCTCCCGTCCCTTTCTCTGCGCTGACCAGGATCTCTGGTGTGTAGAAGGTGGGATGTCTGAATGTCTTGGGCAGCAGGAGCCTGGCCGCCTCCTCAGAATGCAGCTGCACACTGACAATCGGACACTGATAAGCACACCACACACACATTCATACACATGGCAAGGCAGGTGGATGCCTCTCGGTGTCGCTTCGGTTGCACCTTGTCGTCGGATCTGAAGCTTGAGTAGGACGAGCGGTAGGTGAAGGTGTCCCAGGGGTAGTTGGCGAACTCCAAGACATCCTTGAGCGGCCGGGACGACTCCCAGTTGAGCGGGTCAGAGGGCTCCATCGACATGTACAGCGAGTCGCCGTACTTCTGTGGATCAAGAAACAAACCGCACGAGCAAACCACACAGACGCGCACAGTGAGGCAGCAGGACTTATCGACGCCCTCACCCACACACACACCCACACACACGAGCAGCCATCCCACGAGTCACCCCAGATAGACACCCACCCTACCTTGCGAATGATCCTGATGTCAAACCCCCATGGCGACGTCTCGTCGTTGCGTGTGTCCTCCCTCCGCCTCCGCTGCTGCAGCTGCTGCAGCCAGCTGTCGGTCGGCTGCTGGTCCTCATCCACACCACCACCCATGCTACTGTCGCCACTAGCGCCCTCCTGCGGCCCCGGTCCGTCGCTCTCGCGTTTGTTGAAGAACTGCTGGTTGACGAGGGGGTAGAGCAAAGCGACC